CCCCAAAACCCCAAAACCCCAAAACCCCATTCATATATGAAATTTGTCAATGTTAAAAGTTAAATAATAAATCTATAATTTAAACTAGTGCTTAGCAAATTCAAAGATTATAATTTCATAAATTGGTGCATTTATCTTTGTAAACTAGAAAACCAGGATTAATCTATTTACCACATTTACATTTCAGGCCAGAGCTTGAATAGATTCCAATTTTTTAATGGCATTCTTTCTTAGGGCAGTAAATACTTCCAAAATGTCCCTCTAGAGTAAGAATCCAATCCTTTTTTGGAATGAAAAACTCAGAGCAAATAGAATTATTCTGACTGTTTTGAAGACTTTTGATGTTTAAGTTATTATACTGTCCCTTATATTGATTCAAGAGTTGATTACTGTTATATTGTCCATTCATCTTATCAGGTTGTGTCGTCTTGTCTTGAGCTTTGATTGGCTAATGAGATAAAATATCATCTTTCTTGAAAAGCTAAGTTTTGCAATGCTAGCACTAAACGAGTTAGTTATTTTACAATGAAACAGAATTACTATCCTTAGCTTAAAGTCCTATTGATCCCATCATTACCTTGCTAGTACTTTATGCTTAGGTACTCTACTAATAAGTACTATTTATTTAATTTTGCTAAACTTTCTCACTCCCAATACCACTTCCAATTGATGAAAAACTTATCTTCTATGTATTTTGTAAAGATGTAGGTAGTGTATTAGAGTAATTTCTGAGACCTTATTTGCTTGTAGGCTGGGGAAAAATATTTTATTGCAGGTTAGCTGCTTGGTTTTTTAATAAATCTGCTGTGGGAGTTTTACCTGATTAAATCATCGAGGTTCCAGCTATCTCAAATTGAGATTTCTTTTGAATTTACTCATTTCTTTGGTTAATACCGAAGAAATTAATATTAGATGATGTTTTAGGCTTTTATCCTATGTTGTTAATGGAAAGAGGAGTTTGCTATTGGCTAACTAGTGATTAATTTGCTATGCCTTTTAGAGGAGAATCTGGCTTTAAAGTAGAGGTAAGATCTTACTTTTTTTCCTCTTCTTCTTATTGCTGTCTCTTTAATTTTTCTTATTAGAGCTAATAGGTTGTGGCTAGAGAATGAGATCTATTGCCTATTCTACTATTGCTTATTTCTTGCTAAAAAATATTTGTTCTACTTTATGATTTTGAATCAGGCATTGTGAAATCATTTGAGTTGAACTATGAATTGTAAATAAAAAGCAGAATTAAAGTATATTTGTACTTACTCTTAACCCAGATTCATAATCAAGCAATTATTTTTGAAAACCAACATTAGGGCAAACTATTGGTCTTTTCAATCTAACTTGATAAAGCGCTGAATGAAATGAATATCCTTTTTCCTTCATCAGGTAGGCAATTACACAGCTAGATGATCTTGAAATCCCTGCATGACTATATGTTTTTACTTTAATTTACATCAATTTCAATAAAATTACCAGTGCACAAAAACTTTATTCCCTTAAGAATTGCCTTCTTTGATAAATCTAAATATATTTTATTGAAAACATTTTATTATTACTCAACAGCTTCATCAAAATATTAAGCCAAGTTGCAAGCTGGGGAGTCCAGGATATCAACAACTTTATACTTAAACAGCTATATCGAAATTAGATTGATTTCCTTAAATAAACGAGTAATTACCTATGGGAATGGAGGTCTCATTCCTGATGCTACAGTCAAAACATGAGTAATTCCCTAGAGTTCGATGTTAGTCAGTTGAAAATTACAAATCTTTTGAGCTGGGTAAGGTTATTAGCTGCATTCACATTCCCCAGATAGATGCTCTCAGTAATGTGATCAACATCTGTATAAGTTAAGAAAAGGGGTTTTCTCTGTTAGAACATATTTGATTAACGTATTTGAATTAAATTTAACTCTGTTTCTAAATTAATCGAAGTATAAACTATTTTTACTACTGAATAAATCACTTTTTCTAACAATTTCTTGATTTAGGGGTTTTGGGGTTTTGGGGTTTTGGGGTTTTGGGG